ATCACTTGTTGTTCCCTTGTCCCTGGGTTGGTTAATACCACTTCATTTCTCCCACCTCCCCCTCTCCCATGTCCACCTGGAACCATCAGTTCTGTTGTTTTCACCTCCAGATTATTTATCTAGCCTATCTTATCTAGATAGAACTGCAGAGATAATAATATGCACAAGAAAACAAGACAGAACAAAACAAAGTGACAAAACAAAATAATGACAACAACGAAAAACCAATGACAAAAAAAGAGAAAAGCCTGTAAATAGTTCAAGGTCTGTTTGTTGACCTTGAGGAGTGTTTTCCAGTCAAGTCGGATGCAGTGCCACTCCTGCCCCAAAGTCTATTTTTGGTGCTTCCTCAGAACTTCCTTGCTCTGTTCCACTTGCTGTTCTGTTGCACGCCCTTAGTGTTTTGTCTCGATATGGTGGAGTCAGATTGGGCGCATTTCCCACACTGTCTCCAGTGTTGTCCCCTGAAGGGCTTTGGCTCAGTGAGGGTTTCGTGTCACATGGTCCTCTTTATGCCTTGGCTGCTCTGAGTGGGGACATCGTCCTCAAGGCTTGGTGGGCCAGAATGTGCTCCACTCTCTCCTCCTCCCCTTTTATTTGCTCCCACGTGCTCTGATCAGACATGTCCCTCTCCCTGAGGTGTAACTTCAGTACTGTCCTCTGAAGTAAATTTTTCTGGGGGCAGGGGTGGCTGTCCATGTAGCTGGGCTTGGGGCCGGCCCCTCAGAACTCTCTACCGGTTCCCTGCTTCATGCTGGTATGTTGCATTCACATCTTGGAGCACCAGGTTGAAGTCTGGTCCCTCTTTCCTTGTGGAGATATGTAAACAATACCTTCCCCTTGGGTGGGTTAGTGCCCTATTCCCCTGCTATCCATTTTTCTCTCTCTTTTTTTATTTTCTTTTTTCCCACTCCTTTTCAGTGGGCTACCGTATGTACCCTTGGCTACCTTATGTACCCCTGGATTTTGTCTGGCCCCTACCATACTAGGTGGACCTCACCCAAGGAATATTTGTATACAGTCGCTTTTTCCCTATGCCCCTTTTGCATTTTTTTTTTAAGCTTACCTCAGCGGACTCATGTTGTATTTGTCCTTTTGTGCTTGACTTATTTCACTTAGCATAATTTCCACCAGTTCTTCCCATGCAGTGATGTGCTTCATAC